CGGGTGTTCCTCATGCAGGACATTGGGACTTCCGCGTTGCGGAAGCCGATTGATATCTGATTTATATGGAGCTCATCATTAACTGTTGATATTCGCAGTGGAACCCAAAACAAGGAATACGTTGGACAGGGTTTTACACAAAATCGTACGAAAAACACTGTATGAACGGTAGCGCGAGTTCCGTTCCTTACGGGCTCTGAGTAGCAACTTAGCTGGACCTCACCAGGACATCTGAGAGCTATCTATACCAGAAGTGATTCGTAACATTCAGATGAGATATTAGTCAGGGGGGGGGCGAAGTTCGATGCCTTTCCGTCGATTGAGTACACCTAAGTACTTTATCCCCACTGCTGCGATTCGCTAAACGAATGCAGTGTCACGACTCTCGGTCAGTTGGAAATGCAGTAACAGAAATCGTCCTGGTCGACTGAACCAGAAAACTGGGAGTTCTGTTTACCGGCTGCATAGAACGCCGGATCGGTGTACACTTTACCGGACTCACCACGCTCGCCGTCTGGACACCGTATCATCCGAAGAAGCTGTTCCCGGAGTGACGACAATTCGAGGCCACTGTCCAAATTAGTACACCGTCGTTTGTGAGTGTGTCACGTGATTTTGCTGTTCCTTTGGACCCGCAATCGTACTTGTGCGAACGGTTGAAGTTCACCTGTTTTATCACCGACACACAGGGTCATCTGTCTTACTGGTTGTGCTTCCGGCGGTTGGATGTTGGGTACTTTGGTTACACCCACAAATGACATTCGATCGCACTTGCCAGCGCTGCGCGACAAGTGTGGGCTTAGCTGGAACAGCAACATTGACAACAACATTGTACCCCCGGCACGTCGTGTCGATCAATTTGCCGGTGTGTGAACTCTGTCCTTGTCCACACACAGACACACAAGCACTAACACAAAAACAAGCACACCACAGATGTATCAAGCTGTGAAGGCACCTGTGCGAATGAGGGATCGCGTCACTAGATGCGAAATAACAGGGTTATCTTATCAAGTAGGCCGGAAAAAATCAGTCAAGCATCGGTCTAGGATTCTATGCTTGAACCTTCAGTTAACCAGGTAGGGCACATGATTCTGACCTAGAGTGGAATTTTGTTATCCATTTCGAACTAAACACCATAACAACATTTGAGCTTTACGATTGAGTCAGGGTTGCTCCGCAAGCTTAGTTAGCACACTTTCGAATACCACGCGTCCACCAGTTGTCTCCACGTGCGATCTCAACTGGAGTAAGCGCAACATGCCATCCCGCAGTTTATACGCATTGGAACGTAAGGTAAAATATCTAGAAGTTATAGAGAAGTTGTAATACTGCTCGGCATACGATTTAATTCACTTATGACAAGACACGGTGCACAGGTTCATCGTCAACGCTCTCCTCGGTGAAGCACAACTGGTTAAGCCTAACACGTTTACTTCCTAAGTGATGGTATGCCGGAATTCAATTATTGGTTCAAGCGGGTTATTGTATTACCTCGTTGTATCACGATGCGTCATATCGGTTCATCTGTTACTCTAACTGCAGATGTGGCAACGCAGTCAGAACAAAATCGCGTACACCAGTTAAAGCATTCAAGCGTCTATTGGGACTCGACCGCAGAATTAACCATCAGCAGCTTGGTGAGATCCGCCGCACCGCTGCGCATACGCAGCAAAGGCGTTGTGCTCCGTTATAGCACGACAGAGGAGCGCGTGTAGTAGTTTCCGTCGATTTGCATTACTTCTACAGGGATAAAACACAAGTGACAGCGTTGGGTAATGTGGGTCCTACCGATTTTGACAACCTGTGTTTTAATATCCAATGATGTGTTTCCTCCCAGATAGATCTTGAGCTCTACCCCCCCCCCCAATCAATCAATGCTTCGGCTCAGCTTCACTTTTATAGTCCTGCTTTCGATTGACTATCCGTAACTCACTTAACCGATTGAGAGGTCTACGTACTGTTCTTGCGGTAGGGTGAAAAGGCGACTAGGATTAAGCGGCTAACGCAACCGCTTGTCTATCGACAGACACTTTCTCTGTTGTGTTGGTATGCACGAACATGATTTCGTCTTACTTGTGACCACATACACATAGAATCTCCTATTTGGCTTGTAGATATGGGTAGGCAGATATATCAGTTGTATCACCTAGTTATACATTTCCATGTTGGACCTCCACGGAGCTTCAATTGACTTCTCATCAACCATTGTAACCACCGACTTTCGGGACAGTAGACACTAATCGCTTCATTGGTGGTTTGAACAACCTTCACCCTGCAATCCCCACGGGGAGTACCTTGGTGATAAGATCATTGTGTCGGTCAGACTGGTTGGCGTCCTAACTCCAGAACCACCTGCTGGTATGTTCCTTATTTCTTATCCCCATGATTACTTGATAGCAGCCCTGAGCGACACTCAGGCCACTGGAATGTGGTCCAAGCAAGCTGGGAAAAGTTAACTCTGTTTTTTGGGATGTTTGGGAATTAACAGTGCTACCCACTTGAGTGCAACCATCACTGGTTGTCAAGCATTAAGTCTCGTTCACTGCATTACGCGTATAGGTCCCTCTCTTGGACATGTCAGTTTTTAGAGTAAACGCATTTTTGTGACAATTAGTAACTGCATTCTTTCATTTTAGTTGCTCCCATCACTTGACATTTATTTCCATGCATCATTTTTGCGGACTTATTAGCTGCGAACACAGCTTCCTCCCTGAGACTAACACTATCAACTACCTCTCGTTGAGTGCATCTGATTGGCGCTTTATGTGATCGCTGTCTTATTGGATCACTCAGCTGGATATTTTCCGTGTCTTGGTTCGTCTTGACTGCTACTCGTTTGCTAGACTGACTGCTATTTAGACAGTGCCCTTTTCGAATGTATAGGAACCATTGTCCTTACTGGTATTGGTGTTATCCTTGCCGACGTGGGTTGGAGCAGCTGGGAGGAACAAGACATCAGTGAAGTAACCAAAGCATCCGCAATGCCATTTTGTGCTGTGCACTAATTCATGTGGCAACTTCTTTGGAAAGCCTTGGAGGTAGACGTACAAATTGGACGCAGTAAAACTGTAAACTGTTTGCAGCGGCTTTCTTTGTTCGGTTACCTAAGATCCTTTTGAAGTTCCCAATTAGTTCTGCTTGATCATGTGTGCAAAGCTGCAAGTTGGGTGGTCCAGATGTTTCGATCGCAGCCGTGATCCGGTGTTGAGGGAGAATAGTGCACGCACCCTCGATAATGAGATCGAATTGCGCACTCGGTCTCATAGACAGAAACCAGAAGAGAATGAACTTGAACTCATCTCAACAAGCTGTGTGGTGCTCCTGTTTTAATAGTATATGTGCGAGTGAGTAGTTTTAGCTCATGCAGTTGATCATCCCCGTAACTCCTACCGTGTAAGGAGTTGGCCCAGTAAGACGGACTAATCTAGATCCCAGCTGAAGTCAACCATAGCACAAACCCCAGTCTACGTACCGTAAAACCTAAGTTGGCCATCTTCACATCCTAGCCTCTATAAGTTGATCATTTTCGTTTGCATTGCTTGAGCGTTCATCACGTAAATCTAAGAGATCAAGAACCCGCTGTGTTGACCATCTCTCCATGTTGCTCATTCTAGTCCAGTCTCTTGCGTGGTCAAGTTACGAAGATCTTACTGCTTCCACCGGTGAGAGCAACCGTTGGCAACCACGCTTACTTTAACGTATTTGTGTTGAATCGCGGTCTACGAGAAACAACTATGCAATAACAGGCATCTCCGTCTTCCAAGTACACGCTGACCGAGTTAATTCCCCAAAATCTTGTAAACTTTATTAGCTACGAGAACGCCTTCGCCTCACCAGTCTGGTACAAATCAACATGCTGAACTTACGATATGAACTACTATTTTACGGAGGTTGGTAAGTGGAATGCTAAGAAGCAAGCATGTTCATTCTCCGCCAGGCTTAATCGAGGGCTGATCTATAGATAAAACTTGGATGTGTCATTCGGATGTCAATCATCGTTTGTGGAATCCGGGGTATATGTAAGCGTTTGGTAACTTGCACTTTTCGCGTCTGAAACTGACCTGCATACACCGTTGGAATAACTGCTGCTTGACAAGAGAGCTATGAAAGATCCGAACACCCTCTGAGCAGAGTAAATGAGCACAACCGTAGTGTTCGTCTCGTGGATCAGATGTATCACTCAACTCGGAGGCCGGTATATATTAGGCGGCTGGTTCCAAGTAAAAACGGAGAATCTGACTTCCTCGTACTGCACACTCGGTAGTACTATGTGGCGAAAAATGATGGGGAGGGACGTAGCGTTCGTCTGCAAACGTCAAGAAAAGTCATATGTTATGTTTCTCGTGGAGATGAGGTCAACATTAGTCACCGAGCTATTCTTCCTGCTGCGCCGTAAATGCATCAGTTGAGTGCTTCGGATGATTAAGATGAAGGCGGGGATGAATGCGACTGTATTGGTAATGCGCTGGCACAATGCTAGTGGCTAAGTCCAAATAAATCTTTTTCACATTTCATCTACTCCCACATGCGTCTGTGTGAAATGCATTAATATCGGATGACTTCTTCGTTAACTTGGATGCAAGTGTATCCCAATCTTTACCATTTTCTTTTTACAGACAGACACACCTCATTACAATTTGTGTCCGATAGCTCCTGGTCCCTCAAACCACGCACATGGGCTAGGCATCACTGAATCACAGGTCGGGTTACCGTCCATCGAGGACGCACGATATTTATTCCTATTCTTCTCGGCGATCATCGTAATGTTGTACAGATTATCTGCCCCATCACCGCAGTCCATACAACAGCAACAACATCAACAATCTCCACACCAAACTACCTACTCAGCTACCTCAACAGCTTACAACACTCCCGTGCGCTACCCCCAAAGTCCAGGATGTTCGGTTTCGCTGATTGAGCCATCCAGACCTCTTTGTTCCGCTTCGTCAGCTGACTTAAGTAAGTCCGAGAGCGCCTTCCTACCCTTGCATCCGCACTCAATGCATGAGCATATCCGAGTGTATAAAGATCCTTTACACACTACGAGTCTTTTGGATCATGCTCTTTCAACACGCATGGATTCGCCGAACAATCGGTATCCTTTCGAAGTCACCTATCCGATAACTCCTCTAATTGACGCCTCTACGCGGGAAGTAACGCCCCAACCAGGACACCGTTTTCTAGCTGGTAACCAACCATATTCAATGGAGTCCTTTCCTGGATTCTCCGTATTTGGTCAACCTTCCTCCTCCGCTACAACTGCTATCGCTTCTGCGCCGATGATACCATCTAGTGAGGAACACACTTCACGGAAGTTTAAGCCTAGTAACTTGGAATCTCACACACAGTCTCCGCTTTCGGGCACCCTCAGTGCAATGAATTCCACCATTACAAACAGTTCATACCGAAGTTCCAGTCAGATCCGTCTTCACTGCAATCTTGGGGCAAAGGATCGACGTCCGTGTGATATCTGCGGAGACATTTCGGCCGGGTTTCATTGTAATGCCTATGTGTGCGAGGCATGTAAGGTGAGTGGCTTTGTCTGACACAGCCGAGAAGCAGATGATTGGTATGTACCGTTCATTTTTGATAACCGTTACCTACACCGTTAAACTCAATTGCCAAACTTAAGATTATGCACTTCTGGGCCTTCGTTAACCACCAACTTGTTTTTCTTACACAGTTCAGCTTTGCAGAATGTTAACTGGTCTCCTATTCTGCGGCTCGTAATTGCTTACACAAGGCCAAGAAGTTAACAGATGTGCACCACAGGGTATATCCGATCAGTCAAGTGTATAGAACTTTTTAAGTTGCTTGTTTACGAATTTTTTACCGGAACCATGCTTTTCATGCGGGACGAGGTTGTTCATCAGATCGATGAATCGACCTCGGTTGCATCTTGTTGCACTGCTGCTTCCAGTCTCCACCGCCTGGCGCTCTAATCTCGTGGGAAAAATTGAAGTCATGATTCGGCTGACGGTGTTTATTTTGCGTTAAATGACGGCCAAATGCATAGGTCAAACATAACTCTCAATGGAGGCATCGCGGTACAGCAAGCGCTTATGTCCTTGCCTCATTCGTAGTGAACCGGACTTCCTGGCTGATTTGCTACGGTGCACCATATTTGGCCCTCCACTGGCGTCCACGCTCAGGCCAGCCCACATTCCATAGATGCACACCGGATTTCACCAGTTGCTCGCGTCGTCGATGTGTGTCCTACTTGGTCAGCTGCTCGCGCGTCGACTCACAGGCCTCCTGCTGAGTGCCCCGTTTCATCGGCTTCTCACCTGACTCAGCACAGGCCCGTCCAGGCTATCGATGGCCCCATGTAGGTATTCCTTCTGTTCGGCCGCAAATTTAAGCCGCTGCCATAGTGGATCAACTACGTCTCGCAATATTCCCGTCATGGTGCAGTACCGCTGGTCATCAGGTAAACCACAATACTACAGTCGTTCGTCGTTCGCATTTCCATAACGTTCTGCTGATTGCCGTCTGTGACATTGCCTTATTCCGTCTTCTGTAGGCCACTTGAGAAATATACGCATACTAGGCGTCGAATGATGGGGCCGTTTGAACTGGAAGTCAGCCACCCCGCAATAATTGGGTCGTTAGCGCTAATGATCACCATGCTACTACTCCTCAGTGACTTCAGCGTGCGAGTTGCAACCTCCTCTGTTAGCCCTTCGGGTGTCAAAGACGAATGTAACTAATTATGAACTTAGAACATGTGAACTTTGTCTACACCATGTGGAAGGAAGCCCGTCGCGTAAGAGTGGAACCAATCACTATGCTTCTCTCCGGCCTTCTGAGTCAGAAGGAGAAGAGCGAGGGTAAACTAACCTAACTTACACACTATCAATGGGCCATCCACACACCTGAGCCAGACCTCGGAAAAACAGAAGAGCTGGCTGCTTTGCTTAAGCGCTTGACTCAAACGCCGGAACAGTACAGGAACTGTGCTTGAAGTGTGTGCTAGGAAAATTTCGGTGTGCCCATCCATGAAAATCCGTGATTATTCTCATGAGTAAGAACATGACACAGAAAAGGACAAACACAGCCAATTCAAAGCCCGCATGCATACGCACATTTTTCTTTGCACCACCTGGCAAGCCGTGAATTGTGATGGGCACTTCCGACATTTGCATACTGGAAACGCTATAACCTATGTTTCATGTAAACAACTTGATGTCGGATATGTGACGAATTTCTACATATACCATTCAACTCCCTCTATTACTCTTCTATAATCAGTACACAGACCAAGCTGCTTATAATAAGTGAATTGGCGGCTTAACTGGTAAGCTCGTCGCTTGGTGAGGGGGATACCCTGTCCTCTACACGGCAGTAATATGTAAGTCAGTGGATAGTGAGTGGCGCTATATCACATCTACTAACTTATTTACGATGGTCGCTGCCGTCCCCCGTAGCTCAGTGGTCTCAACCACGGACTGGCAACAGTCGAGTTGCGGGTTCGAGCCCTACCAGGGCCCGATGGAATGCGGCGCACTGCTGACGATTCCCGAAAGGATGAAACGCGCGCACAGTGCCTCTCCGGGCATTGACGACAGTCTGAAAAAGCCTAGATATGATGAATTTCTACCTATAACATTCAACTCCCCCTACTACTCTTCTGAAAGCACATTAGTTTTCATAGTTTTGAAGGCGAAATGAAGCGAAGCTACTAAATTACACTAGAGGCAACCAACAGAAGGAAAAACGTCAAATGCAACGACGAATAAGCAACCGTGTACTCAAGAGCGAATCACATATGTCCATGAAAATATCATCATGGGACTCCGAGCGTAAAGCGAACATCCATTTACAGTGAGGGGCACTGGTCAATCAGAATAACTAAATGTAGCGTTGCAACCAATGTCACGAAACAACCGAGAATAATAAGTGCAGACCCAAAAATTGAACACTAGTACACTAATTGTGTGACAACTAAATATTCCTTTAACGTAACCAAGTAGAACAGCGATGAGAAGAAAAACCAATAGAATGTGTTCTTGCAAATTGCAATGCTGTAAAGGACCTGACGATGAGCGTCCATCAACAATGACGTGTGTGTACCAATCGGGCTAACTCAGTAGAGCGTTTAAACAACAGTCAAGAAGTGGAAAATAGGAAGAATAATGAATGGCTATTAAGCTCGTTCACAAAAATGAATGTCTAAGCTGTTCTCCTAATAGTGTTATCACCGAATCACTGCGTAAATGATCATGGTGAACAGCGATCTACTCAGTAGTTGTGTGCCCGTATACATGGACAAATGCTCACTGAGGCACCATCCGAAGACTGAATTTCTCAACGGGGATCAAGCTATCACAAGAAGTTCTTCCCTTCTACATAAAGTTCTTGACAGATTGACTGACGTAGGTGGTAAATTTCCCCCGGATATTGGGAAGAACCAGATACGGTAATAGCAGGTAGTATTTCACGAAGTAATTTGTGGGATAGATTGGAAGCATCGCTCTTGTCTGAAACCGAGTGAGTGATTTACGTGTGAGGCACACTTGAGTCCTGTGGTGTCCAACACACTAGCAGCCATGCGAATCGAAGTAGGTAGTGAACTAATCGCTGTTCCCACGTAGGGAATAATATTCTTTCACTTCAGATTCACAGGTGGATCAGCTCAGAGCTCAATAATCTCGTTTATTGTGTGCGGCTGGAATGACTTTTCGCATCTACTTTCTTAGCCCATTATAACTTGACAAGAGCACTAAAGTCGGGAAAAAAGTTCAAATGTCTGCAGTAAAAAAGTCCCTGAAGTTTTCGGTAAGAATTTACCTGTTTTTCAATTACCCATTAAATCAACCAAGTTGGTCTTTTCGTTAGTTTCTTATATGAAGAGGCGGCATTCGATGCATAGAAGTGCAAAGTGCATACTGCCAGCAACACTGTGGTAGTTATTTCGAACTTCGATGTTTCGTCGCACAATTGCTCTGTTCGGGAGGACAACTAGCAAATGAAATCACAGTGTTCCCATGCCACCTGAGCACTTACTACTAATTATTAGGCTACGCTTTCGCGAGAAGGCGCGCACTCTTTTGGCCACATTGGATGACCGATGCGGGGGTAATTGTGTGGTGTAATTGAGCCCCCACGGATAACTAACGTTCTATCGAATATTGCCATGCCGATAGCAACTGAAGTTTGGTTTGAACGCAACATTTCGCAATGGACGTCAAGTGGCTTTCAGTAGAATACTATGTGGTTTGGTAATAAAATCGCCTGGTACGTAAATGGCTGTGTTTATGAGACGGAGGTCTCGACCATACAAAGCGATCAACGATTTCGTATCATTCTGTGGTACATTTAATGTACAGATACGACAGGACAGATCACAATACTACAACGCACGTGGTCGCCTTCGCTATCTTGAGCCAAGGTTGACGTTAATCAAGTCATCGAATGAGGCTTAGAATCCAGTTCGAAATCGACACGCGACCAGTCGCATACCACGTGCGCAAAGCGGAAGGCGAACGTTCTCTGACCAACGTGCGTTCTGATCACATGTTAGGTTTCACCGACCTTGGCTAGCACTTGCGCCGTTGCCTGAGACACAGATGTATCCATTTTCGTCCAGTTCACTGTCTGACTATTTCGTTCGTCCGTCTGTTCATGAGCCCGCCCACTTACATGCTTGTCTGTCCTCCAATGCGTGTGATTTCACCCAGCAGACCGTAGGGGTGACACGGAGTTGTCCTCGGTTCCTTCCCTGCCTGCCACCGTCGCCGATTCGTGGCGCAGCCGTGGAAGTCTGCCTACCTTTCTATATGTGGCGCCGTGCTACCGTGGCTGTCGGTCACTGCTGCACAGCGTATCGCGTGAATGTCGTTATCCGAAATCCGGGTGGTCTCTGGCCAAACGCGTGTATGTTACGCGCGTATGTGACTGTTCACTTGACAAACCACCACCTGACTACACGAGCTGTCCACGGCAGTGTTCTGCGTACATTCCGTATGTTTGGCGGTACCGATAGCTTTTACGCAAGAGACCCCATGCATGCAACTCTGGGGTCGTAGCTCCCAGCGCGTTGTTATGGGTCTGCTACTGTGCTTATCCGCAAATACAAACCTGCGCCTATCTGAATCAGATAACAATGGGAGCAATGTATCGACCAATACATAAGGAGGCCATATAACCGGCCCTGTGGAATGAAACAGAGGGGTTAAAAACAGATTACAATCTCCATTAGGATCTTCCATTATGCCTACTTACAGTACCCATATTACGAAAGCGTGGGGCGTGAATGTGGAAACAAGTGCATCTTAGCATCCTTAGTAGTTCGAGGCAAGACTGTTCCAAATATCTTCACCTTGTCGTCTTGAGTGCAGTTACATCTTCCAAGACCACACTTAGTGAGTTGCGTAATGGTACAAAGACTGAGAAGTCCTTAGCGCTGAGACAACCTGTCACACACACACACACACACACACACACACACCATTTTCACCTACGTAGCCTGATGGATATTCCTTGTTTCCGGAATGTATGCGTCCAAAGACACCACTTATTTAGGGTA